TAACGCTGACACCTAAAGTAAAATAGCATTATTTAAGTCATTCAGGAACTAATTCTTATCATTTTACTCTTGCAGTCTGCAAAATACTTTGAAATGGAGCAGTAAAGTTCGAAAATACTTCAAAATGTGTAAAAAAATTAGTGCAGTGACACGGTTCTTTCAACAATGCAGTTGTAAGACTGTCAATAAGAAGCATTTGTTCGAAATATTTGGAAGATTCATTGCACTAGATACAAAAGAAATGAGAAACTGTGAGCACAGTGATAAACGATAAGACGTGCCAGCTTGCCAACACACTGCAGTACATCCACATTTGCAGAAGGTGTATGGAGTAGCAGCTTTAAGCATAAACTTAGGCTCGGCTCAACGTAACCTCGAAACATTCCGCCACCGGTATCCGCGATCAAACTCAGCGCCACAAGGGACCACGTCTGAAAACATTAACAGAATCTTATGCGGTGAATGCAAATATGCTAATAAATCAGACAAATAAAAGTGTGCAATGAGACGAGCAGCCGAAATGGATTCTAATTTCAATCGCTGCCTGTGGTACAAATGCAAAAATGAGGGCGAAGTAGACAGAAAAACAGAACTGCTAAATGATAATCATACGATCCCAAAATCTGAAAAATCGCCAGTAAGATGAGAGAACCCGAAGTCGTGCGAGTGCGGTAAGTTCAGGAATGAAACGCTACCAAATGTATTGCTTAAGGCGATGAAACAGCAGCTGTTCAAAGTGTCAAAATAAGTAGAACTGGTAAGGAAACGCAGAGAAACAAAAAAAAACCTGAGCAAGCGGTGATGTAGCATCCTGCGCCAGCGCCAAGAGGATCGAAACACTGGTGTTGAGGTGTTGACCGCTGCCCAATGAGCCAACATAACGATGCAATGAGCCAAGGGCCAACGCATGTCCTGTTCTGTTGTTCGCATCACGACAGCTTTTCAATTTATCAAAACTATACTGCGCCATGCTTGCCACAAACTGCAGGGAAGATGAGGTCAAATTAAAAAAAAAAAAATAGTACAGAAAATCAGTTTCAGGAAGCAAAAGCGACTAGAGTTTCCAGCTTGAAAATTTTTTTGATCGTTACGGATATTTTATTATTGCCTTCGAGTCCCAAGAGACACACACTCGTACTCCTACAGTGCAGATAAGCACGCAAACGCATACACACATATATCAAAAAAAAAAAAAACACTGTATCAGACTACCTGTGCATCTCCAACAGCTTGAGCCAAACGACCCAGCGCTTCCGCAGCCGCAC